TATTAAATTATTGATGACATGTCTAATAAATGGACACATACCATCTTTCTTATTATGGGATAAATTATTCATATAATTGGAAAAAATAAAAAAATATATCAAGAAATAAAAGAAATATTTTTACTTTTAATTGTTATTTTTTACTTGCTGTGTTTTTTAAAAGAAACTTTAAAATTCCCTCCTAAAACATGATGTTACACTATTTTTTATTTTTATTGTTTTTGCGTTACTATTTTTGGGTTTCTAGAATAATCAATAACAAGAAAAAGAATAAGAAATTCGCGGTGTACATCTTCATTATCTATTTTTTTAATGAATAGTGGATCTCATAGGAAAAATGATACATGTCCATTTATTAAACATATCATCATCAATATTTTAAAAATAGAGACACTAAATTGGAAAACAAAATGAAATTGCACACACTCAAATTAAAATAAAAATTTAATTAAGAGATTGGCATAAGCATAAGTATTGAATTATTTATTACGTCAAATATTCATTAATAGTTTATTCCCAGTCAAGCGGCTTCACTATAAATTTTAAACAGAAATTCCATCTTTAAAACAACGAAAGGAAAACTTGAAAATGAGTTTTTTTTTTTTTTAAAGAGTAGGAAAGAAAATATGTTGTGTTTGGAGGTCCAACACCATAATTATTATACAAAATTTGAAAATTAAGTAGCAAATTAGAATATTATGAATCTTACTCCAAGCATAGGGTAATTTAACCCCAAAATGTTTTTCTCATTTTTGTTTTTTCACTTTTTCTATTCCAAATTTTATGTTTCTTATATGAACTTCCACGTAGGAAAACTTTCCAACATGTACATGTTTTTTTTATTTTATTTTATTTTATTTTATTTTATATATATATATATATATATTATATTGCTAAATGCTAATCTTTGGATTCTGCTCCATCATCGTGGACTGAAATATTTCCTCTTGAAAATTCTACACGGCATATATTTGCCTCAATGACTTTTCATACATGACTTTGTCGCTACTTTGAATTGTTGCTTCTGTAGAACCCCAGTTTGATGTTAACAGGAGCTGGTTCTTTCCAAGTGGTTACTTGTCATCTCATAACTCGTCCTCACTTTCTTGTTACTTCAATTCTTGAACCAAAAGAAAGCGTAAACCTGAATCTCTTATTGGTCATGGGGAAAACCAATTTTGGGGAAAATAACTTGTTCAAATCCAACCAGTTGCATTATGATTTTTCAACTAATTTATTTTTATGCAAGCAAAAAAACCCCAATTTGAACCGCGTCAGCTAAGAACTGTTTATTAGTGGTAACTATAGAAAATTTGATCCATTCAAAATTTGACCCCATCCAAGAAACTTCAAAAAGGTCAAATTCGAACTTGTCAAAATTTCCAAATTTTATACAGAATAGAAGTCTATAAATACCTCCACATTCCCTGCAGAGATATATAGCAAGGTTTCAACACTTTAACTAGATTCCAGTTCTAGCTCTATATATCTCTCAAAGCTCTCAGAAAGTTTAAGCTAAACCTCTCTTAACTCTTTCCCTTCTAGGTCTCTTAATTCCATCTTTATATATATTTTTAGAATCTCTATCGACATCGCTCATATGGAAACTCCAAGATCACCTCTTCAACCTCCAACTTATGGAAACCAAATCACTATTCTTAGCATTGATGGAGGTGGGATAAGAGGCATTATTCCAGGAACTATACTTGCCTTTTTAGAGTCTGAGCTTCAGGTAGATCATAAGAAACTGGGTCCTTTTAGCACGTATATTTCACGTTAAATAGCCATGCAACATCATGCATGTTTTTGTGTTTGTGGGCTCATGAGTCATGATCAAATAAAATAAAGTAAAATAAGAAATTCAGTTGAAATGCATGAAGTAAGTTTAATACTTAATAGTTTTAGTCTTTTATGTCCATCGATATGTATATATAATTGTAATGTTTATTTATTTTTCACACACACAATTTTATCTTCTGTATATATGACTGAATGGTTGTTTTGCTATTCAACATTTTTGTAGAAGCTGGATGGTGCAGAAGCAAGACTTGCAGACTACTTTGATGTGATTTCAGGGACTAGCACTGGTGGACTTGTGACTGCTATGCTAGCTGCTCCAAATGAGCAAAGCCGTCCTTTGTTTGCTGCAAAAGACATTAATGAATTCTACCTTGAGAACTGCCCAAAAATCTTTCCTCAAGACGAGTAATAACTCTAATGATGAATGATTGCAATGAAACTGTTTTTCTCCTTGAAATTGCCAAGTTACTAATTAAGTATTGTTTGGCAATAGATCTCCATTTGCTTCTGCTGCAAATCTGTTGAAGACTTTGAGAGGACCAAAATATGACGGAAAATTCTTGCATAGCATTGTCAAGGAGAAGTTGGGAGATACGCACTTGCACCAGACCTTAACTAATATTGTCATCCCAACTTTTGACATCAAGCGCCTCCAGCCTACAATCTTTTCCAGCTATCAGGTTCATATATACACTCACACACATCTCTAAAAGTTTGTTTTCTTTCAAAATTTTGAAATATTTTCCTTACAACGTCTTTATCCATGGTTTCAGGTTAAGAATAACTTATCCACGGATGCCCTTTTATCTGATATATGTATTGGAACTTCAGCTGCCCCGACTTATCTCCCAGCTCATTATTTTGAGACCAAAGATCCATCAGGAAAAGTTAGAGAATTCAATCTTATTGATGGTGGTGTGGCAGCAAACAATCCAGTATGTTCACGATTTATCTTTCATCAATCTTCAGCATCTTGAACTCGTATGAACGAAGATTCTTAATTATGATTTATTTTCTTGTTGGATTTTGAGCAGACTTTAGTTGCCATAAGTGAAGTTTCTAAAGGAATCAATCGGGAGAATCCTGACTTCTTCCCCGTAAACCCAATGGAATATGGCCGATTTCTAGTCCTGTCTTTGGGGACTGGTACAGCAAAATCAGAAGAAAAGTACGATGCAGATGAAGCAGCCAAGTGGGGTCTCTTAGGATGGTTGACTAGTGATCATTCTACTCCATTAGTGGATGTTTTTACTCAAGCTAGTGGGGACATGATTGATTATCACATTTCTACAGTTTTTCAAGCTCTTAATTCCGAAGAAAATTATCTTCGAATTCAGGTGCATATCATGCCCATCTTGTTGATGTATACAACCTAATTATACTAAAAAAAGACATGATCTGACATAAATATATGCAGGATGATACATTGACTGGAACCCTTTCATCTGTGGATGTTGCAACAAAAGAAAATTTGGAGAGTCTTGTGAAAGTAGGCGAGGGATTGTTGAAGAAACCAGTATCAAGGGTGAATTTAGGCACTGGAATCTTTGAACCAATTCATAAGATGACGAATGAAGAAGCTCTAATAAAGTACACATCTGTAGCGCTCATTATGTCAAGCATCTCCTATCTTCTATGATTCGTTTGTTTATTTATTATGGTTTTTGTTGGATTTGTGTAGGTTGGCGAAATTACTCTCAAGGGAAAAGCATCTTCGTGAAGCTAAATCAGCACTTGGAAATTAAAGCTACTGCTTCAAAATGAACAATTTGACTATTCTTTTCATTGTTTTCGGAAAATAAACTTGGAAGAAGTAATTTTACTTCAGTGCTGACATTGTAAGATAGTCTTCAAATAAAGATGTCATTGCACATGGCATCCTAGATCTGAACTATGTAATTCTTTTGTTTATAACACATGCAATGTAATTCTTTCATACCTTGAACAATTATTTTAGAATTCAAATTAGATTTTTTTTTTTTGAAAAAAAAAAAACAAAAGCTGATCAATATTTATCTGACGGATAGTGTGAATATTATTTAGTAAATACATCTTTTTTTTTTTTCCTCCCTTGACAATGAGGATCATATTCTTGTATCATCTTAGTTTAATTTCAAATAGATCATTCATTCACGTTTGAATTAATAAACGTGAAAAGTAATTTAAAATTTTTTTAATTGAAGATAACTATAATTTAGTTGGCTATAATCAGCATTGACCTAGTCAATCTCCAAAAATAAATTTTAATCGAAACAATGTAGGCTGGAGATGTAGAAGGCAAACATGGCAGATATATAGAGTTTAAACCAAAGTAGTTGTTGTTAGCCTTACTAGACTTATTGACTAGAACTTTCTGTTATTTTCTTTTTATTACTATTATTTATTTCTACCCTCCAATTTGAACAATTAGGGGCTAGATTTTATTAAGATCGGCCTAATTAATATAAAAAAAAAACCTTAACAATTAGGGTTTTTGTTTTTTGTTTTTAAAAAGATTATGGGACAATATTGAACACTTATTTGAACAATTTTAATTAAGCATTTTCATTATAGAGTGAAATTCGAATACTGCCATTGTTTAGATAAACAAATCTTCGTTTGATAGATCCTGAAAACTTCAGTTAATTTTAATATTATTTCAATTCTGATTTGTATTTAAAATTAGTTTTTTTTTTTTTGTCATATTTTTAGAAAAATGAACTTTGTAGTTGGCCCATAAATATAATCTGATTTTTTTTTTTTAAAAAAAAAACTAAGTATAATCTTTATAGGTCCAACAACTTCTTAGTTTGCTTGTAATTTCTCTTTTCACTATCTTCCTGCTAATCTTTATCTTTAATGTCATCGTCACTCCATTTGGAGTTGAGCCATAAATATTTGCCATTTGAATATTTCATTAGTTTTGTTTTTTCTAGATACCTATTGAATATATAAGGACAAGTTGATCAGGCTAGAAAGCAACATATTGTAGTTTAGAATTATTAGGTGGTGCAATCAGGCTAGAATGCAGCATATTGGCCTAATAGGTAATAGGGATAACAATCAATGGAGCTCCAACTTCATCCCATCGGAATCATATATATATATATATATATATATATATATATATATATTATTGAAATTAGACACTTTGATGTCTGTCTAATCTAAGTAAATTGGAATCAAAAGCTCTGATTCAAACAATATATATGTCCTTTAAAATGTGCGAAATTCAATTCGTAAATGGTGGGCCGGTGGCATCTCAAAATATGAAGAAGCAGTTCGAGAGTATTACCAATAATGCCTCACATTCGAAGTACAATAAATACAAGACATGAAGCCTCATAAGTTTTATTATTCTAAAATAATTAACATTTACAGTGAACATTCCTTAATTTAAAAGTTTAGATCCATCTTTTTATTCATCATGCTCTAATTACATATTTATTTCATTAAACTCTTAAAGATAGTTCACTAATAATATTTATTTAAACTCAACTCATGAAGACACAATTTGAAATTCTCTAATAAAATACTTTTAGTCAAATCATACTTGTATAAAATAGAAACTAATTTAGTTTTCATAAAATATATTAAGTTGTAAACAATGTTTCTGAAAATATAATTATAAAAACAACGTTTTTGAAATTATAAAACGTTTCTAAAATATACATATGAAAATATATTATGCAATAATTATCTCAAAACTATTTAAAGTATATGCTCATTTTCATTTAATCAAATTCTTTTTTAATATCATTTCAAATAAATATACTAATGGTGAAATAATTCATTCGAGTCCTTAATAATTTATAACCAATTTATCATGCACTTCTTCATTACATATATAGTAAATCCATCACCCTTCAACTTTCTAAAGTCATTTATAACTTTATAAATTAGGAAGCCTATGGATTGGGATCCATTTAAATACTTTGGTTAAAGACTCCATTTAAGCTTATTGGAAGCTTAATTAGGTTTTACAAGTGATTAAAATCATCATTTAATCATCAAACTAACTAATTAATTAAATTCCATTTAAGTCATCCAACCATTAAATTATTTCCTATACTCTTTAGATGATATCACTTAACTAATCTTTAATATATATACACCAATTTATCATATTAATTCAAGACACAAAATTCATTTACTTAATATTTATGTACTTATTTGTTAGGTCTAAGAACATTTAACGTTATATATCTATAAAATCAAGTTTAGAATACCTAGACATGTTTACAAAAATAAAGAAAAGACAGATTTAGGTCAACTATACTAAACCTACACTTAAGGTATACTTTTTTGCAACCTAGCTAGGCATCTTCCAACAATAGCTTTTATTTCGGAACTTATTATCTTTAATGCCTTGCTTTTCTACACCACATAATTAAATTTAAATGATGATTAGTAAGTAACGTTCATATATGTATGATGCAATAAAATATATTTTTATGAATTTAAAATACATTTTATGTGATCAAGTGTACCTATTGAATATGTCGCTACACGACGTCGGACGAAACTCCCCAAAGAAATCAATGTCGAGTGTTAATTATTTATAAAATTATTTATAGAGTTTTGGAGTTGCCACCTAGTATTTAAGGAACTAGGAACCTAAAAGTAGCACTGGTTCGGAGATTCCTAAGGTAAGGAGTTGGTTATGCTTTTAGGAAGATATTTAATCACTTAAAAGTGCCCTTTTCGAAAAAAGGTACCATGTATGGTTTAGTTCTAAATTCATCTCCTAAAAATGCATGTCAAGCTATTTTCTAATTTTTAAACTTCTATTTTTTAGACTAATTGAATTTTTTAGTTTTGGGTGCGGCATCATATTGAAACGATCGTCGGTCCCCTTCATCGGATGATACATCGATTCAAACATCGGATCCACTAAAAACCTTAACACAACCGGCGTGTCGAAGGACGTCTTAATAAAAAGGTGATTGTTGGTGACGTCGCCCCTATCAAATAGGAGACTTCATTGAAAATTTTGAATTTGGTGACGTTGGTCCCTATTAGATAGAAGACTTCATCGAATTTATTTATTTATTTATTTTGATGACGTCGGTCTTTACCATGTAGGAGGCTTCACCAAAATTTTTAGACATTGTTTTTGGTGACGTCAATCCCTATAAGATAGGAGACTTCATCAAAAAAAAATTTATAACTTTTTTTCTAACAATACATTTTAAAGATAGAAAAAAAATTGAAATAACAATTCTAAATTAATATAAGAAAAAAAAACGATCGAGGGTACAAATAAACAAGCTAAAAAAATAATAATAAGTAAAAAATAGATAGATAAATAATATCGCAAAAAGAATTCATCCTAGACCTAATCCATTAACCCACGACTTATTTTTCCTACCCATCCTTTTTCCTTTTTTCTTTTTCCTTCTTATTATTTTTTTCTTCCCTACTTCTATTTTTTCATTTTTTATTACCCTTTTTTTTCTTTTTTCTTTTTTTAAGGGGAGGTCGGAATGAAACCAGCCTTCCTTTTTATTTTTCTTGGGTTTTTGAAGGGTGGGCTACGAGCTAGACCTCCTTTTTTTTTGGGATAAAGGGTGCGAGTTAGGCTGAAATCGGCCTAGCCCCCTTTTCTTTTCTTTTTTTCTTGTCTACAACGGGCTAGGTCGGGCTGAAATTAGTCCACCCCCCTCTCTTAATGTCTTGATTGGGCTCGAAGCCCACAAATAGGTCCGAAAGTTATAATTCCAAAAAATTCGATCAAACATAGCTCCCCGGCCACTCTCTCACCTATTCTTCATGTTCTTCGCTTTCTCTCTCTTTTTCTAATTTCCCCAGAACCTAAAAATCCCGATTCCAAATCAATGAGCTCATTAACCCGAAATCTTTATGCCTTTATTTCAATCACAAACTAAAAACAATCAAAATTAAAGCTTAAACAAATAACTAAACCAACATTTGAGATTTAAGCAACCGAAATCAAAACCAACCAAAAAAAAAGAACAATAACCTGGATAATTAAAGAAAATGAAAACTTGGAGTTGTCCGTTGACCTCGAATGCTCAAATGGGTTCTAGGTTTGAGAACTAAGGTGCAACGATGTGAAGAGCTTCAAACGCAAAACCTAGAACTCCAAGAATTTTCAAACACTACCCAAAAAATGAAGAACGTTGAATAATGCTCAACCTAGAAAAACCCGAAACTATGAAGAAACGCGAGTCGCTACACGAATTCCCAAAGGAAGAACCCAAATTTTGAATAATTGGAACCCGAATTTTAAACAAAAAGTAAAAGAGACTTAGGAAGATCAAAACTTGACCCCGAGAAATGCCAAACAAAAAAAGACGGGGGTCCGACGGATTATGAACCAAACCTAGGTCCCAAGAACACAAACCTAGAAAAAAAAAAAACAAACCCGATAGAACGTAGTTGCTAAAAAAATCAAATCTTTTCATCTTTGATTTTCGGTCTCTCTCAACCCATTCTTCTCTCTAATTTTTTTATTTGTGAAATTAAACTTGTTTTATAGCCAAAAACTCCATAGAATCGAATCTAAATCTCAAATTTTTCCGCCAAAATATTTTCTTTTTAATTCATGATTAATGTGAAATCAAAACGGAAATTTGGTCATTGCTTCTTGTTAGTGCTGATTTTGACAACAAATCCATGATTAATGCACAATCAAAACTAGAAATTTGTGGAGGATTTAGGCAGATTCTCCTAAAGATTTTTGGAGAGGATTTGCCTTGGAGTGGATGACGGAGTTGTCTTCTCCATTTCGGTCCTGTCGTTCGCTCCAAACTTCCAATTTGGTCCTCATGCATTTCAAGTCCAGCGATCACGCCCTTCAATGGTATAATTTCAACAAAATCTTATAAAATAGGTCCCTATGAGGTGCAATTTAGGGCCTAACTTTTTTAATTGATTGATTACACCCCTAATTACTTCAATTGTGTCCCTAAATGAAAATTGTTGTGTTTTTCATCATTTTCTCTTTTTTTTTCAGTAAACTTCAAATTAAAACAAAACATACATGAAAAAAATAAAAATAAAAACAAAACAAAGAAAAGGATAAATTTTAGGTTATTACGGTTGCCCCTTTTTACAATGTTTATGGCGCAAAGTCAAGTGAAAAGGATGTTTTTCAATAACTTTGTTTAGTAAGCTTGTAAAGAAAGGTTTTTTTTTTTCCTAACTAAAAGTAAAGCTATGATGGGATGACTTTAAAAATTAAAATACGAGTGCATAGCCTTATTATAAAGAGCGACTCTATCCTAGGAATTAAACGTGCAATGTGTGACCTTATTATAAAAAGGCAGACCTAACCTAGAAATTAAACATCCAATGCGTGACCTTATTGTAAAAGGCGACCTACCTTGAAAATTAAACATGCGAGTGAAAATTAAATATGCGGTATATGGCCTTATTGTAAAGGGCGACCTATCCCGAAAATTAAACATGCAATATGTGGCCTTATTGTAAAGGGCGACCTATCCCGAAAATTAAACGTGTAGTGTGTGGCCTTGTTGTAAAGGGCAACCTACCCTAGAAATTAAAGATATAATGTGTGACTTTATTGTAAAGGACGACCTACCTTAGAAATTAAATATGCGATACGAGGCCTTATTGTAAAGGGCGACCTACCCTAGAAATTAAGCTTGCAATGTGTGGCCTTATTGTAAATAGCGACCTACCTTAGAAGTTTAAACGTACTCGATGCGTGGCCTTATTGCAAATGGTAGCCTACCCTAAAATTAAACGTGCAATGTGTGGCCTTATTGTAAAGGGTAGCCTACCTTGAAAATTAAACGTGCAAATGTGTGGCCTTGTTGTAAAGAGCGACCTACCCTAAAAATTAAACATACGGAGAAACCTTGGTAATCTTACCTACTTGAATTGAGTTAATTGTCCTTACTCGAAAATGGTTGTTCAACTTTGGGTTTCGCACTTAGGCGGTGGTCTATTATGAGGTGACCATACCCGAGGTTGATTTGTGAGGAGTATTGCTTCTCCATTTTCTTTGTATCCATTAGGATGGCGATATGCTTGAAAATAAACTCGAGCATACTTGGTTAGTCAAGGTACCTATAAGAAACATAGGCCGATCCGCTTAAATCCCTTTGTTTGACTTCTCTCTTTGGACTATTAGAAGTCGATTGGCTATCTATGCTCGAGCTCCATGGCTCGCCCTCGATTATGTTTTTTACTTTTTTGTGAACTTGGTTGATCTACCCTTCGAAGTTTATGAGAAGTACGGTAGTCCCCTCGGTCTATTGATGGTAATGGTCGCTCCTTAGCTTGATCAGTCATCAACCGACCACTTACGTTTGATGAGAATGATGGTGGATTGGTTACTGCTTTAGATTGGTTCGTTGCTTTAGTGACCTTCTTTGTAACTTAAGGTTCCATATGCTTTTTGAAATGTTTGACACTTCTTCCTTTTATGAATTTTTTCTTTCATAGGGAAAGCTAGGTAGATTTCATTCAAAGATTTTGAATTCAAAGGTCGAGCAAACCCATCGAACCCGTGGACTTGTCATGCAAAGGTTTTGAAGTTAGCAATAATGGTTTTTTCTTTTCTTTTTTTAGTGTGAATATTGAACTTTAACGAGTGGGAAAAATTACAAGTTCGATGATAGAAGATATTGTTTGCCCCTTGGTATTGGCACCAACCATGATTTTGACTAGCCTAGCCTCGATTTGACTATTTGTTTAATAAAAATTCTTTTGTAAGGGCTCGCGAATCCGACACTCGTTTAACCGATTACTTGTCTCTAGTTAGAAAGGACTTTTATTGATACGTAATGTAGGCTAGGGCATGGTTTCTTGAAAAATGGATAAAATAAGCTCAAATAGTGTTTCGGGATTCGTTTGACGGTAGGACAATAATTTTTTTTGAATCGGATTTGATTAAAGGCATGTTTGATTATGATTTTATTAACGTAACTTGGGATCGGTGTTTGTAAGGTCATTTACTCTTTTCTCTAATGAAGTAGGAACAATTTTTTTTGGAAGCTTTGGTCTTTTTTTTTTTTTTTTAGCACGTGGAAAGATCATGATGTTATTCCTCCTTCATTCCCAATCCTCTTTAGTAGTGACTCCTTTTTATATTTTTTAGATCACAAGTTGTTCGGTGACATGCCTCTCAAATCCTTTTTTTTTTTGCCCCCGAGTGTGAGGGGTGTCTTAGTCTAGGTTTCATGAAGAAAAATAGAACTCAATGGATACATTTCACATAAGTATGATAAAATTCCCAAGAAGGCCTTTGCTCATCCTATCGAAAATAGTATCGGATCTATACGAGCTTTATTTTCTTGAACCCCTTTTATTAGAATAATATCAAAATAGGACCTACAAATCTAGATGTTTGCTATGTCATTTTCATGGACGATGCCATAGGAGTAATTTGGGATCTATACCAATGAAAAAAGATTTTTGGCTCGATTTTTTTTAGCGTGTTGCATGACGAGCCTCGAGTGTCGACAAGATGTACTCATTCTTTTTCACCATGTTCAATATTTTATTTGTCTATTATTGGACCAATATAACATTGAGCGATTACCTCCGTTTGACATCTTGGTTGCTTTCCCTAGTCCGGAGTAATCTTGATATGTTTGAAGTGGCTAGAATTTAAAAGGCATATAGATCATAAGTTTTTCCGGGGTTCATCGGGGGTTTTTTTTTTAAGAAGAAGATTGAGCCTCGTCGTACGTTAAGTAAAACACTATTATAACATCTTAATTGACTTGCATGTTATTTGTAAATAATATTAATAGAGATCATGAAATGACAAAAGAGGTGATGTGTTTATAGGGTCGAGGAAACAAAGATTGAAAGAAGAATGCAATGTACATGTTTGGCTCCGAATTTCATTCTTTATTCATGAAGAAGAGAACAACAACCCTCAAGCATAGTATTTCTTAACCGTATCGGAATTTATAGGTTTGACTATGTTCTTTCCGTCCATACTAGTCAAAAGGAGTGCTCCCCTAAAAACATTTTTCTCACTACGTAAAGGCATTCATAGTTAGGTGACCACTTGCTTTTATTCTCCCCGGGTATCGAAAGAATTTTCCTAAGCATCGGATCTCCCTCGTGGAATTCTCTTGGTCGAACTTTTTTGTTGTATGCTTTGGCTATCCTTTTCGATACATTCTTACATGACAAATGGCGACTAGCCTCTTTTCATTGATCATGTGCAACCGTTTATATCTAATTTGAGCCCATTCCGCTTCTTCTAATTGTGTCTCCATAAGTACCCTAAGAGAAGGGATTTCTACTTCTAAAGGCATCACCGCCTCCATCCCGTAAACCAAAGAATATGGTGTTGCCCCGGTGGATGTTCTTACGGTCGTACGATATGCATGTAGGGCACATGAGAGCTTTTCATGCTAGTTTACGTATGTGACAACCATCTTCCGTATGATTTTCTTGATATTCTTGTTTGCGGCTTCAATCGCCCCATTCATCTTAGGTCGATAGGGTGTCAAGTTCGGATGTTTAATCTTCCACCTTCCGCATAATTCTTCGATCATCTTTCCATTGAAGTTCTAAGCATTATCGGTGATTATCGTATCCGAGTAAACCATATGAACAAACCAAACTCTTCTCTATGAAGCGTTGGACCACTTTCCGAGTGACATGAGCATAGGAAGCGAGCTTTAACCCATTTGGTAAAATAATCAATTGCCACCAAGATGAAATAATGACCGTTACTTACTTTGGGATTAATAGGCATAATGACATCTAAAGCTCACATGATAAAAGGCCAAGGTGATACCATATTATTAAGTGGAACAAGAGGAGCATTGATCCGATCTCTATAGACTTGACACTTATTGCACTTGCAAACATACTCTATGCAATCCCTTTCCATTATCAACCAAAAATATCCGTATTGTTATATCTAACGGATCATAGTGTGACCATTTGCATGAGTTACACAAATTCCATCATGGACCTCTTCAATCACTCTACTCGGCCTTAATCGCATTTAGACACCGAAGCAATGTCCCATCAAAACTCTGTTTGTACAACACTTCACCATCTAGGTAAAAATCCATGGCCAGCCTCCTCAAGGCCTTTTGATCCATCTTAGAGATACCCGAAGGATACTTTCGATTTTTAACAAACATCCGAATGTTGTGGTACCATAGCTTCCCATTATTTTCTCCTTAA